TGACAGTTCTGTTCATTGAGAGACAATTTTAAGACATTTAAACCTCTGATCAACACATGTGTGGCAATGGAAACATTGGGATCCGATTCAAGTGATGCTCTTTTCTATCAATAGTGGGTTTAGTCAAGACATTCGTACCGTTTCTTCAAATATGGTCTTCATTTGGCAGAAAAGGCCGCGAAAGACATTTTTGCCGATCGATTGGTCGATGAGTGAGGCCTTCGAGTTGTGGGCCGATAGACAGGACTTCCCGATGACAGACACGACACACACCTTATCCTTACGAACCGATTGACGGCTTTTGTTGAGAAATTCAATTGAATTCCTGTTTTAAATATAAAATCAATTATAAAACCAATGAAACCAAGAAATCAATGAATGCGAGGGAAACCGACTCGAGAGTGGATCCGCTGTCGCCGAAGACATGAAAGCTGTGACTGCTTTCGTTGGCAGTAATGGTGGGCCCGTTTCCGGACGGAGACATCACTTCAGTTGATCCCAAAGCGGGAGATAATCGTAATGTTGTGTTAATTGTGTTTTAAATTGGTTTCAAATTAAACCAAAAGTTAACCAAAAAATTAAATGTTTTTGTTTTGGTTTTGATTTTTTGATATAATATTACATTAATTACGTTCACTATAAACACGGGTTTCATTCAAACCCTAATAATTTAAGTATAATTTAAATTATTTAACTTTTTATTAATTAATTTATAATGAATTTACTTTTAATTAATTACTCAGATAATGTTTTAAGTAACTTTAATTAGGTGAATTTTATTACATATATACAGCAATATTAAACATGTGAAATATGTGCGAACAAAGTTTGAATTGTAGTTTAAACCATATAGAACTTTTAAAATACCAAGAATATTACTGTTATAGTATATTATTCTATTGACTAATCTTGGTTTTAATTTCATTTGAAAATGGTTAATTTAATTATAAAAACATTGTTCATTGACTGTGAAAAAGTGTTTTACTCTCTATTAATATTGCCTTCATTTCCGAAGTCATTAAACTATTGATTATTTAATAGATTTGATGACAGAATATATAAATAATAAACAAGAGGCAGAATATATAGTGAAGACAATTACCCGATACTATAATAGATGTTTAGATTATGGCATTAGATTATGTCTCCAGAAGTTGAACCGTATTTTTTAAACAAAAGCAACATTTATTTCTCATCTATTAAGGCGTCCGTAGAGACCACTGACTGCTATATTGATCTCTCGTAATAAGTCTTAACGTTATAATGAAAATATATAATAGAGAGAAGTGTATTGAAA